GACTGACTGGTTTGGAGGGTGGAGTCTATGGCAGTGTACCTGTCTGAGGTCCCACCCCTCCTCAAACCTCACCCTCTTCAGGCTCCATCCCTCAAATCTCCAGGAATTTCCCATCTGGAGTTGGCAACCCTATCAGGACTGGCCCCAATGTGTTTTCTCCCAAAGGCCAAAGTAGGTGACAGGACCAAGCTTTGGGCGGGGCGGAAGGACTCAGCAGGTATAATGTCATAGGGTCTACCCTCCAAAGCATCCATTTTCTCCAGGGGAACTGATCTCTGTCATCTGGAGATCAATTGTAACAGTGGGAGATCTCCAGGTCCCATTGGGTGGGGGGGCGGAAGGACTCAGCAGGTATTATGTCATAGGGTCTACCCTCCTAAAGCAGTCATTTTCTCTAGGGGAACTGATCTCTGTCATCTGGAGATCAATTGTAACAGTGGGAGATCTCCAGGTCCCACCTGGAGATTGGCAACCCTAGGGGAAAGCCAGCTGTACAGCAGGGGGTTGAAGAGAATGGTTTGATGGCTGCTGGGCCAAGATTGGCAACAATAGTTCCCCAGGATCCCCATCGTAAATGCACCAAACAATTCCTAAAGATTTTCCAGAACACTACTCTGTCGATAAATCGCAACAATTTGAATAAGCACCAGAGCTTTAAGATCTCTCCAGCTGTCACCTGGAGACTGGCAACAGCTTGTCTGGAGTGTGGGCAGTATGGCATTGTATCTGTCTGAGGTCCCCCTCTTCCTCCTCCTCCTCAGACCCCACCCTCAGCAGGCTTCATCCCTAAAATATCCTGGAAGTTTCCAACCTTAATCTGCCTGTCTGTCTTAAGTTTTACACACACACCCCCACAGCCTCTGCCTAGGGAAAGGGCAGCTGACATCATTCTCCTCTCCCCTATGTTATGCAACTGAAAATCCCAACTGCCTTGCGGGGGGGGGTGAGTTTGAGGTGTGGAATGGAGTGTAGTCCAATCAGCTTCCATATGCAAATAACCTTGGAACGCTGGGCGGGACTGCACAAAGCAGCCAGTCAACCCAGCCAGTGTCTTCTGAGTGGCAGTTTTTCCGGCTTAACACTAAAGGGGCCAAATTTAGAATGTTCATATAGAATGTTCTTACTCAATTATATATAAGGAGAGATGAAGGGCACACAGATAAAATATTTGATGAGCAGCTCACCACCACACCACTGTGATTCAATGAAATATCATAAAATCCAAAATGAAATCACAGAAAAGAATTCTCACCATTGCCTCTAGGAAGAGCAACTCCAGACAATGCTTCTAGAACTGAACTTTTTCCAGAGCTCTGATCTCCAATAACAGCAATAGCTGGCAGTGCCAGGTCCTTTTCGACTCCAAGAGCTCTCAGAGAATCAATGAGGTCAATACAAGGACGAATCTTCTCTTCATATTGGCTGTATAAAGTGTTTTCTATTTTCTGTTAGGAAATAGTGAAATTCAATTTTAACCTCTTTTAAAAAAAGTTTTACACTTTTCCGCACACTAAATAATAATATCAATGTTAATCCGCACAGTTGAAAATATACTTTGCTAGAGTAAGACACAGTATTTTATCTACACTATGGAGAAATAATAAATAATGGTTAAAGGCCCAACAAATGGCAGGTGTTGAATCATGTTTGCTGCTGAACATTAGGTACTGAACATCATGTTTCAAAATTCAGTCTTTTAGCAACTACATGATGAGACCTCTGAGGCCCTCAAAGTAATCAGTTATTGGACATCACAAGCACACTGCAGAGAACATATTGAATTCTGTTTGCAATAGGGTTGCCAGGCAGTTTAGCAATTGGCAGGAGGGCTGTAGGTGGGAATATGGGATGGCTACAATGCCAGCTGAGAAGCCAAACCATAGAGTTTCTGGTGATTCCTAGAGCTACTATATGTCATTGCCTTTTTTAAAGGGAAGTAACATGGCACTGCATGTGACACTGTAGGGTTTTAAATTTTTTCTTCTGCTGTTCACAAGGACCTGTGGTTGCAGCCCATACCAAGTAGATCATTGCTACCGTAGTTTGAGAACACAGAGCCATGGGAGAGGAAGGCAGTCCTAAATCTAGTTTCCTACCTCTCCAAATAAATTATCAGAGCTGTTGAAATAACTGAGTCATCCATCTGGCACTGTTTATGATTTGTGCCAGTCCTCCAAGAGGCCCACTGGGGGACTGAATGAAGGGAGTCAGTGCTGGGAACTGAATTTGCATCCCCCTTTGCACATAAGGGCTTCACTTCTGAGAAGAAAAAGTACAGCTGATAAATCATGAAGCTGTATGTGAGCTGTAATTCTTCCTTATGATGTGAGACATAACATATCAAAATGTCCACAAGATTAAGAGGAAACTACTATTTTTAAATAAACCTGCAAAATATTAATATTCCTTTAAACAGCACAGTGTCTGATAAGAACTCTTGTAGGCCAAGGATCCCCAGTTTTACATGTCTTCTGAGCCTCTTCACCAGCCTGGTATTATGAAAGCCTGCTACCCCCTTTTCAAAGAATTCCTCATCAGATGATCAGTGTTGGCCAAGTGCTAGCCTGCAATGTCTAGCCCATCTCTCTGTCTACACAGAAAGGAAGATCACACACTCAAAGTCTGATTTCTGCAGTGTACTAAGTTTTGCTTGGGGATAGACATCAGTGGTCTCTTGAACACAACTTTTGGCCTGAGGAATGCCACTCCAGATTGCACTCAGATTGTCTAACTGCTTACAGAGACCTTTGGAACCTACTCCTACCAAAACCAACTCAACTGTGAATTGGCTCCTGCTATACTTGGGTTCTGAAATATGCAGCCCTCAAGACCCAAGAAGTTGTCCATTTCTGATTTAGTCCAACTCCTGACTAAATCAGAAATGAACAACTTCTTGGAACTTGAGGGCTGTGTATGAGCCAGGATATTGTATGTATGTCCCTTTGAAGCTTGTTTGTACAATTATATTTTGAACATCTTCAAGCATAGAGATTCCTTAATCTTCTAAAGAACTTTGATCTACTGTTGTATTTCTTTCAAAGTTATTTCTAACTTTTAAATTAAATCTGCAAAGAGAGCGACTGGCCGAAGGTAACTCAGCAAACTTCAATGGCAGAGTGGGGATCTGAATCTCCATCTCCTAGACCACATTCTGTCACTATAATCATTACACTATGGTGGCTCTCCATAACTAGCAGACACAGAATATATTATGCAAAACAGGAGAGATTATGCAAAAACCTATAATTTTCACAATCTGTATGGATTACAGAAGTCAGCTTTTCTCAGAGAAGAATTTGGACAGCCTAGGAACAAAATTTTCATTTAGTTTTGGCGAGGAGTATGAACAGCCCAGATTAAATCCTTTATTCTAAGTTATGGTATTTTGTTGTCCACAAATTCTCTAAATAAAACAAAAATCCAGTGGCAATGTGAGTTTTTGTGAGTCACTGCTCACTTTTTCACATATGTATGAAAATCAAATTGACAATCCTTCTTATGAGGGAGGTTACAGCAAGGGGGGGAGTAGTTAAAGTGAAGGAAAATCATACGGGGGGAAATTGTGAGTCACAACTTACAGAAATTTCACAATATGATAGTTCTTCACATACATACTGAAATAAATGTTGTTAGTCTTTAAGGTGCCACTGGACTTTTGTTTTATTTTGCTTTGATGGACTACCTCTTTGTAATCATATGTTCTGTGATGTTGTTCCATTTATAAGTTCAAGATACCCAACTTACCTTTTTTTGTTGTTCCTGTTTTCCCAGATGATTTACATGGAATACCGGGGCAAACCCAGGGTTCTCAGCTTTCTGTGCAGTGACTAAATTTTGTGGGAATTCTGTTGGCATTCTGATGCCCATCTCCCCACTTGGCAGTTGTTGGTTTAAGACAAAAAAGTGTTTTGATGCAGCTTCTGATGGCATTCTGATGCTTGTTCCCCCATTTGGCTGTTGCTGGTTCAAGACAAAAGATGGTCTTGATGTAACTTCTGATGACCCTGATAGCTGCATCCCCAATTCCTTGTTTGGCTGCTGATTCGAAATATCAAAACTAAAGTTAAATGGAGTAGCCATGTTGACTGGAAGGGGCTTGGATGAAACTTTCTTTTGACTCCGTCTCTCAGATGGAGACTCTCTCCACCCACGGGACTTGAACATTAAATATGCGTGATATTTTCTTATGGATCTTGGAATGATGCTGTGTCTGCAATGGCAATAACAACGTAGTAAGCAAACTCAAAAGCAATTATGAGATTTCAGTGGAAAAGCGAATGTGGCTCCAGAAAGGGGTTTTTTTTGGGGGGGGGACATTGGGGAGAGGATAAATACATTTTATATAGGATTAAAATTCTTGGGGATGATGCCAGGGGTTCTCTGGTGACTTTTATCATCTGGACGTAGGAAACACACATGTGGGGGGTGGACTGTCTTCACAACTGTTATTTAGTTTGAATTTAAATGAGCACAGAAGGAAAGTCTATGAGGAAATAGTGAAGAGTCTGTGGCTTTTCAGATCAGAAAAAAATGGATGAGGCAAGACATGCTAGAGATTTATAAAATTATGCACTGGGTGGAGAAAATTAATCCAGAGAACTTTCCCCCTCTCTCCTATAACACTAGAACTCAGAGGCACCTAATGAAGTTGATGGGCAATAGGATCAGACAAAAGGAAACTATTCTTTACTCAATGAGTAATTTAATTAGAGAATTCACTGCCTGTGGACATAGTGATAGCTTAGGGCATAGACAGGGCATAGACAGCTTTAAAAGGGGATTAGGCAGACTCCTGAATCCATCAGTGGATACTACCCATGGTGACTAAAGGCAACCTCTGCATTCAGAGAATGCAGATCTCAGAATATGAGTGCTCGGAGTCAGCCTTGGCCTCTATGCCCTGTTAGTTAGCCCTCTTAAGCAATTGCTTGGCTATTGTGTGAAAAAGGATGCTGGACTAGATGGACCACTGCTCTGATCCAGCAGGGTTCTTATGTTATTACTAGGAATAAGGCCCATTGTGGAAATAAATACAACGAGATCTAGAAAGAGGCTCTGGGAGAGTGCCCCGGCCTTGGGCACTCAGTGTCAATTTGCTGTGGTGACCTCAGCAGGGTATGACACCAAGTCCACCATTTTCTCCAGAGGAACTGATCTCTGCTACCTAAAGAACAGTTGTAATTTTGAGTGATCTCTAGCCCTCACCTGGAGATTGGCAACAATGGCTCCCCATAACAACATGGTTGGTGTCATGCCTGCCCCTGCTGATGTCATGCCTGCCTTTGCTGATGCCCCTGAACAGGCTCCTGAGGACCCTGAACAGGCTCCTGAGGACAGTACTGCAGCAGAAAGGCAAAGACTGGATCCTGTAGCTGAAAGCTATCTAAGTGGTGAGGAGGATAGAGCCTCCCAGGGAACACCTGCAAGGGATCAGTCTCTGCTGCAGCCCAGTAATTCATCATCAGACTCGCCTCCACCTGTAACCAGGCTCAGGAATGTAAGAAGACAACAGCTGAGAGAGCAAAGGCAGAATGCACGCATGCGTGCCAGAAGATCTCTTAGCCCTGATTACTGACAGGATCCTGTCCTCACTCCTGGCTAGCTAATGAGTTGATTAGCTAGCACTGTATATATGCAAGTCTGTTGCCAGCAGTCATTTGTGCTGGCAAACGTCGTTTGTTCAGGACCTGAATCCTTGCATCTCTGCTCCAGACCTTGTGGAATTCTTCTCGGCTTGATCCTCGGCTTTTGACCTTTGGCTTTGTTGACCCTGCGTTCATCTCTGACTTGTTGTGATTTATGGACTAGAAACTTTGGTATGTCTGACCCTGCTTTTGGACTGTGATTTAAACCTGCTTGAACCTTGCTACCTGGTTTGCCCGGCTTGACCTCGGACTGTTCCTGGACTTTTGCTTGCTTGCGTCACCCCCCCTGGTCCTGCCATGACAGCGATCCCACGGCAACATCTGGGAAGCGTTGCCCGGCCGTCCCCAATCCGTCCCTCCCGCCCAAAACCCCGCACCAAAAAAGAACCACCTACCTGGGTGGTTCATCCGGAAGGGCCGCGGCAAGTGCGGCCGTGGGATCGCCAGCGCGTCCTTGCACCGGTGCATCCCCGGCTCCTGGCCGAACTGTGCATGTGTGAGCATGCGCAGTTCGCCAGCCTCCCCTTCCCACCGTCGCTTTCTCCCCAGCATCTGATTGTTCTGGGGAGCGACGGTGCCGTGGCTCAGGGGATCCCGCTGCGGCGTCTCAACTTTGGTGCGGCTCAGATTAGCCGCACTTCGCCCATAGTTTTTCCTGCCGTGTGGCAGGGACCATTATTTAGTAAAGAGAACAACTGATTTTAACACAAACATCTTGTCTTGTTGTCTCTCTGGGAAGATCCTCATTTCGGAATCTGATTTCTGTATACACAGGCCTTGAACCCCATTCATATAGTCTGGCCGCTGCGTAGATAAGCAGTTTGGCTAACACCCCCAGGAAGGGGACAGGTTTCCATTCAGATCATCCGTGACAAGATCTGTATGCTTTAAAGGGCTACAAGAGTTCACATATGAAAACACAGAAATGAACCATACATAACAAAAGAAGTCGCTACCCTTTTACCATCTCATGTGACTATCTGTCATAGATTGTGGTCGGCACAGTTTGTGCACACAATTCTTTTCTTTCTTTCTTTCTTTCTTTCTTTCTTTCTTTCTTTCTTTCTTTCTTTCTTTCTTTCCCCCTTTTAATCGCTCTTCCTTGCATGCACCGTGCCAGACATCCCAAGAGATGGAGGCCGGAATGGCGCCGCCTATTTATGTCACAGCCTGTTTAGGCTTCCAGAGGCTGGGTGGTTTTTTTTCCTTTCGCAAGCACCTTCGGGTCACCCGTTGAAATGAGTTTAGGTGCTGAAACTTATTTCTCTGACACGCTGGCTTTTGTGCAGCTGACCCCACCAAGGGCATCCAGGAGAATCTTGGAAGGTTTCCTCCGAAGAAGTGCGAAAATTCTACTGTTCTGCTTCTTAGGAATACATCCTCTCTCTGTCTCTCTCTCTCTGGTTAAGTGCTCGGACTCTAATCTGGGAGAGCCGGGTTTGATTCCCCACTCCTCCACATGCACCTGGCTGGATGACCTTGGGCAAGCCATAGTCCTGTCAGAGCTGTTCTTGAAAAAGAGCCGTTTCTGTCAGAGCTCTCTCAACCTCACCTACCTCACAGGGTGTCTGTTGTGAGGAGTCCCCCACTTCAGGATAAGGTACGACTTGGCAACCCTAGGCGCCTGTGGAGGGCAGGGTTTGGTGAAGGATCGCAGTACGACACCACAGAGTGCCCCCTCCAAAACAACCGTTTCCTCCAAGGGAACCGATCCCTTTAGTCTGGGGATCAGTTGTAATACTGGGATATCGTCAGGCCCCACCTGGAGGCTACCATAAAGAAACACCATGATAGAACAAAACACACTTCTACTAATATGTCCTTGTATCATCTTCATATATTGACTTACTTGCAATAGAGACTCTAGTATATTTTATCCACATACACAAACCTAAAGTACGTTGCATCTACTAATAGAAGAGTCCACAGCTACAAAGACCTATTCCAACACTGTAGACTATCTCGCTCCTGATAAAGGACTAATTATGCAACAGTCATAAATGATGAGAGATGCAGCAGGCTGTTCTATTCTCTACAAAGAGTAATTGAGCAGGCATCAAAGCAGGCACGAGAAATGCAGCAGGCAGTTGTATTTCCCACACAAAGTGTTTCAGCAAGCATCAAAGCAAGGAACATGCCTCCCAGGCAAAAATTGCGTGTTTCGACAAATTCTTCTTCAGGCAGACATATTTTCCTGGAACCAAAGCTCTCGATCTTAACTGTGCATAAGTCAACCATTCTCGAGAAGCCTTCTTTATATCTCTCCTATATAATAAAGCAGTAAGACGCAAACTTCACGCAATGCGCCCCTACAGTGTTTGGACGGCTCGGCTGTCCGTCAGCGGCGTGGCCACATCCCATTGGCCACGTCGTCTGAGTCCCACCTCAGACGCAGCTTCGCGTTCCTGGGGGCTGGAGGCGACAGGCGGCTGTGCCGACCGCTGGCCTAAGCCGGCGCCTGTGGAGGATGTTCCCGGGGGCTGGAGGTGACGGGCGGCTGCGACGGGCGGTCGACTCAGACCGCCAGACGCCTGCGTCACGCCGGAGACGGAGGAGGCAAGCGCTGCCAGCCGCCTCAGTCACGCCGGAGACGGGGAGGATGAGGGGGGGTGGAGGTTACGAGCGGCTGCGATGGACGACGACCGGACAGCTGCGTCACGGCGGACAGTGAGCACTTGCGCCCAGGCAAGTCCCGCGACTGCCTGGCTCCCGCGGGCAGCTGGGGCATGGCGCAGAGGGGGAGGAGGCAGAGGGGGGCTACCTGCCTGTTGCATCGCCCTTCACCTGTGTCGCGCCGGAGACGGAGGAGGCGAGCGCTGGCAGCCGCCTCGGTCACGCCAGACACGGGGAGCAGACGAGGGGGGGCCAGAGGTTCCGAGCGGATGCGACGGCCGACAGCCGGAAGGCTTCGTCACGGCGGACACGGAGCACTCGCGCCCAGGCAAGTCCCGCGACTGCCTGGCTCCCACGGGTGGCTGGGGCACGGCAGAGAGGGGCAGGAGGCGGAGGGGGGCTAGCAGCCCGTTGCATCGCCCTTCGCAACGGGCCTTCCTCCCTAGTATTGATATATTGCTGTAGTGTTGTAATGATAGTTTAGGCATGTTCTATGAATTCCCAGCTTTCATTTTTTTAAAAAATAAACTAAACACCAAGTCTCTAGCTTCTTCCCTGGTGGAGATATACAGGGGAAAGGCATATCTACACCAGGGAACAGGCTAGAGACCTACTTTTTTTTTTTTTTTAAAGAAAGCTGTGAATTCAGAGAAATTCCTTAAACTATCTTTACAACACTACAATAATCTACTGATTTTTAGGGCTTTTTTTTTTAAAGGCCACCGATAATGACACCAATGACAACTGTACCCTCCCTTGAAAAATCCTCATTATTTAAGTCATGAGTGGAAGAAAATAAACTGACTCCACAAGGGTAAAAATGCACAGGGAGGGCAGACCTGCAGAAGAATTCTGCCCAAACGGATTCCAATGCTTATGGATTGACTTCCATGAAAATCAGGAGTAACTCAAGCACGCAGAAAAGTTGTGGTACTTTAAAGGCTAACCAGTT